CCCGAACACACAAACAAGTACATATTGACCGGCTCGGCCCAATCCCGTTTTAGCAGCCGTTCTTTTACGGCATATAAATGCAGTATCATTTCGGAGATTGCCTTAATGATTTGCTTTTTCGTATCAGTCATTCGTGACATTCAGTGGCAGGTAAAATTTCCAGCCCAATGGATTTTACTTTCTCGTATAGTCATAACATCCTTCCTACAGTCAAGCATAGAACGTAAGGCTCTAGGCATCGCACCTAAGTAGAAAACGCATATCAATTTTTAAAAGCTAAGCAAATTTTTATTCAAAAAAGGTATGTCTATGCTTGAATGTATGAAAAGGACTAACTTCGGCACCGCTAAGCTCACTTTTTCTTTCGACCAAAGCAAGAGCTTCATCCAATTCCTCATTAACGGTCTTCTGTTGCACGCTACTGCACGCTGCTGGCGCATTTTCAGGCACTCCATCCAAGCTGCCCTCCGGCTCAATCAGGTGATTAGCAGAGGATTTTCTCCTGGCGGCTCTTTTTCTCTTCTTTTTCCTTGAAAACTGCTGATTAACGGTTTCCGATGGTGCATCTGCCTTGTCGAAATTCGCTTCCACGATTTCATTACTTCTTTTTAGCTCCTGACATGGTTTAACGTCTAACTGACTGCATCCAGCATCAGATTCCGCATAAAATGTTTCATTTACTTCTTCTTCTTGTACATCTTCAACCATACGCTGCTGGCGTGCCTCTTCTGAACTTCCTTCAGCTAAAAGCAAAAACAGTAACATGTGATCCAGGTCAAAGTTTAGAGAGGCCCGTACTGCCTTTTACTTTAGAGAGTAAAAAAAGGACTTCAAAAGATTTCAAAGATTCTGTGAAATGACTGTGCGAAAAAGGGACCGTAACGACTCAAGGAGAGGCCAGTATTGGGATCATGACAAAAAACAGGTATAATTGTTGTAAAACCATGGTGAACGTAATTTATATGAGAAAAAAACTATACCTTATCTATATTTTATGTAACCAGAAAACTGTATGACTGCTTAAAGTAACTTTACTATATAAACTAATTACCAAGTAATTCTCCAACTCATTCAGCTAATATTATTTTGAACCTAAATCTTGGCACTTGTTAACAAGTATTCACGAACGATTCCTGGTCGGTAAGAAACTGCATTCTGGAAGGGGCAACGTTCGAGATGATATAATAAAGCTCAACACAGACACAGACACAGACACACACACACACATATACACACATACACACATACACACACAGAACATCTCGAAATGACTAAAGCCCTTCCAAGTGCTTTTGTCGAGAGGAGAAACGAGATCAGAATCTTTCCTGAACGAAACAGATGTTACCAATGCCAGTAAAGTGATCATCATCCGATGCAGCACTGGTCAAAACAACTGGGGAAAGAGGGATCAGCCCAGCTATCTGTCCAAATACACAAAAGGATCTGTTAAATCCAGCTGATCCAATGATCCCAAAACATTCAAAGGAAATATTCTTACCATCGCATATCTCTCTATTTGGCTCCTCCATATTCATATCGTCACAGCCATCCTGAAAAAATACCCTTATTTTCGAAGTAATATTTGAAAAAGCAACGAAATGCAATTTCATTGAGTATTTGCACTCACCTCCTGGGCTACAGAACAGCGT